GAATACGAGCTAAAAGCTAAAAGATTAGCTAGATGCTAAAAAAGGCAAAACAAAACTAATTCTAAAAGTAAAAAAAAAAAGTTAGCTACAAGATAAAAGTAGAAAATGCTACCTAAAATCAGCAAACTGTTGGCTAAAGATTAAAAGCAGAAAAAGGCTAGCTGAAAGATAAAAGTAGTAACAGTATATCAGTGGATAACAGCTAAAATAGTTAACGGCTAGCTAAAAGTAGAAAATCTAAAAACAGCAAAAAGGCTAGCTGAAAGATAAAAGTAGTGAAAGGCTAACCAAATTTTGAATGTGATGCTTAAAAGATGCTAAAGATTATCAAATGGCTAAAAGCAGCTAAAGGCTAGCTAATAGAAATTTGAAAAAATAAAAAGCATAGCCGAAAGCTAAAAATAGCAGGACAGTAGCTGCAAATAAACTAAAAGTAGCATAAGAAGACAAAACTAGATTGTTTTATTAACCTTTATTCAACCAGACCAATCCCACTGAGATCACAGATCTCTTTTGCGAGGGCGGCTTAACATGCAGGTTTTGGACCATGGGAGGAAACTGCAGTACCAGAAGAAATCTACGCAAACACGAGGAGAACATGCAAACTCCACACAGAAAGACCCCAGCTCCAAACCGGGGATTGAACTCAGGCCCTTCTTGTGAGGCAACAGTGCTAACCACTGAGCAGTCGTGCCGCACGCTCAGATATCAAAGAGAACAATGTTCCTGAAGGAACTCACGAGATCTCATTGTTTTTAATGAGGAACAGTTTGTAAATTTATTGTTTTTTAAGAATTAAGTATTAACAAAACAGTGAAAATATTTTTTTATAAACTAATTTTATAGCACCCATCTCTTAAGTGAGCTGAACTTCAGACCCCATCAAACTGTGACAGCTAAAATATTGGTTGACTTTCCCTTTCGTTCTCTCTCTCTCTCACACACACACACACACACACACACACACACACACACACACACACACACACACACACACACACACACACACACACACACACA